TGTTACGTTGGAGCCGCTATTATTTATGTTTATTGTGGTCTTTGTAGTACCAGGAAGAGGGAGTTGAAAAGAATGAGACCAGGTTGTGGCTATGTACATATTTCTACATAATAATAATTTCGGCCCGTAAGTGTGGAAAAAAACCAACAAATGCTGAGAGAATGAGACGATAGAGAGAATCACACACTTAAACTTAAAAATGTAAAGTAATAATAAAATTATTTAAAAGAGCAACACGCAAGTTTCTTGCTCGTTCTTCTTGTGATGAGACAGCTTTCCGAACGAGCGGTAGATTAAAAAAAACTTAATGACTATTCAAAAGTGCTTCAATGTAAGTTTATTTGAATAAATGATTTTCTAAAAAAAAAAAAAATAATTATAATAATAATAATAAATAGGAAACATGCAAACCAATACAAACGATCATACTCTTGAATACAAATGTTTGTACTGCGAGGATTCGAAGTGACGGGCAGTCAGGTGGTGCGCTAAACCACTGGACCACCGAGGGCAGCATGAGAGTACCTGCTGAGGAAATAAAATAAAACAATGTGTGTAGATGATCTAGATCTCGTATTTGTATTGTAACAGAACGTACCACTTTTCACTCATGAATGCAAAACTCGTAATAAATCCTTCATCAAGTATTGTAATGCAGGATGAAGAAATAACATTATGGGTGATTATGGAAACCAAGGAGTTATCGTAAAATGTATAGATTTTATATAATATACTTATACAAAGAAACACTACTAACTAAGAAAGGATGTAAATAACACGATGACTGCGAACAGGGATGAATGGAAGCGAAAAACATATTACGACGACCACAAATAAATGGGATAAGTAAGAAGCAGGTGATGATGATGACAAAGAAACACTACTAACTAGGGCCAGGAAGGGAAACCGAAAGAAGTGACAATCTTATATATAAAATTCTCGTGTCACAGTTTTCGTTCCCATACTCCTCCGAAACGGCTTGACCGATTCTCATGAAATTTTGTGAGCGTATTGAATAGGTCTGAGAATCGATTCTATCGAATTTATTTATATATATTCGAATCTATTTTTCATCCCCATAAATGTAGGGTAGTCCACCCCTAAATTTTTTTTTTATTTTAAGGCAAAACAGCGTTTGCCTGGACAGCTAGTATATATATAAAAATGAATTGCTTATTACGAGTTTGTCTCGCTAAAACTCGAGAACTGCTGAAATTGATATTCGTGAAAGTCTAGGGAAGGTTTAAACGGTGATAAAATATGAAGACATTCATTGTTTGTTTTCCAGATCAATACCTGTGTAAATGTGCGCTGAAAGTATCATCTGTTATTTGTAATTGTCTAAAGTACTCTGCGTGAGCCACTCAGTCTCTCATACTTTATCATTTACTTTAGTGACTCAGTCTACACCTAATCCAGCCGTCATTTGCTGGGTCCTATTGTGTTTGAACCCGTCCGAAACTCCACTGATTTTTGTGTCTATTTGTAATATTGAAATAACCGTTTTTTACTGCATGCATATGTATATAAATACGGAATATACACCAAAAAACCACTTTTTAAAATTTTTGTCTGTCTGTCTGTCGTTCTGTTTGTTCCGGCTAATCTTAGAAACGGCTGAACCGATTTTAACGGGACTTTTTTTGGCAGGTAGCTGATGTAATAGGAAGTAATTTAGGCTACTTTTATTTTAGAAAAAATCTTTTATTTTATAGAAAAATAAAGTATAATTCCACGCGGACGAAGTCGCGGGTACAGCTAGTATAGAATGTAATTTGGTATTTCAAACTAAATAAGTAGCCTATCAATACATACTATAAAATAAAGTCGCTGTCGCTGTCTGTCCGTCCCTACATATGGTTAAATCTTTAATCTTCTTTCTTTTTTTAAATAGATAGAGCATTTCTAGAGGAAGTTATATACATATATAATACATGTACACCCGTGCAAAACCGGGGCGAGTATCTAGTTATGTAATAAATTGTTATTACCTACTACAATTTGGAAACGGTTTCATACTAAGTATAATATTGTGGGCAGATGGTTGCGTCCGAAAATTGCGGTAATGTTATGGATATAGTTGCGGTGTGTTGTGAAAAGTTGATGTGGCCCCGTAACGGCTGGATGTTTATATATGTCGGATTATGCAATGTAAACATCACGCTCGAATAATTATAAAACATCCGACAGCCTTTGTCCGAGTTGATTGTGGTCCTTCAAATGGAGAATACAATTATTTTTATAACTAATTACATAATATGTTTAGGTTAAAATCTATCTTTACAGCTCCGTTATAGGACTATTCGTTTACCATGAGAAATATATTTGTATTATAATAAAATATTATTCATATACATAATTGTATATATATCTTACTAATATTATAAATTCGAAAGTTTGTAGGTATGGATGTACGTTGGTTACTGTTTCACGCAAAAATTACTGAATGGATGATGATATTTTACAGAAATATAACTTAAACATCAGAATAACACATAGCCTATAATTTAAAAATATATGTAAATTGGACGATATATAATGATAAGTGTGATGCAGACGAAGTCGCGCGAGTCATATAATATATAATTATTATTATTAAACAACAAGAACATAATTACATAGTATAAAACAAAGTCGCTGTCGCTGTCTGTACCTATGTATGCTTAAATCTTTAAAACTACGCAACGGATTTTGAAGCGGTTTTTTTTAATAGATAGAGAGATTAAAGAGGAAGGTTTATATATAATACACTAGCTTTTGCCCGCGGCTTTACTCGCGTTAATTTATCCCCTTAGGGGTGGCATCAAAATCCTTTCTTAGGGGATGCCTACGTCATAGTACCTTTATGCATGCAAAGTCTCAGCCCGATCGGATTAAAATTGACAAACTTTCATCCCCTATTTTATCCCCTTGGGGGTAGAATTAATCAAAATCCTTTCTTTACATCTACCTGCATGTCAAATTTCAGCCCGATCCATCCAGTGGTTTGGGCTGTGCGTTGATAGATCACTATGTCAATCACCTTTTGAGTTATATATATAGGTAATAAGCAAGATTACAAGTTGCAATACGTGAATCAACTTGCGCATGACTGAATATGATATATTTGCGGACGTAAAAAATGTACCTATTGTGGTTTTAATGATCGCTAACAAATTCCTATTTTTTTATAGAATACGCGTAATAAAATGCCTTCTTGTTACATTTAGAATAGAATAGAATAGAAATCATTTATTCAAATAAACTTAATTTAAGCACTTTTGAATAGTCATAATATTTTTTTTTAATCTACCGCTTAGGGGATGCCTAAGAAAGGATTTTGATAAATTCCACCCCTAAGGGGATAAATTAACGCGAGCGAAGCCGCGGGAAAAAGCTAGTTTCCTATATATTAACTAATTTGTTTTATGGTTGCACTTCTAATTTATCAAATTCGGGATTTAATACTGTCGTCGTTGCTTTGCCTTTATACCATTATCTGTGGTCCGCGCAGTATGTCATTCTCTTCAACTGATCTCTATCGGTCGTCATATCTGAGCATACTCTCCTTTTATTCATATCATCTTTCACACAATCCATCCATCTTTTTTTAGGTCCTCTCCCTTTCTACCCATCCACATTCATATATTAAATACTGTATCAAACAAATTTATTAAAAACAAATTTGCAATCATTACATAGTACCTATAAAACAAAGTCGCTGTCGCTATCTGTCCGTCTCTATGTATGCTTAAATCTTTAAAACTACGCAACGGATTTTGAAGCGGTATTTTTCATAGATAGAGTGATTCAAGAGGAAGGTTTATATGTATATATAATACATGTACACCCAGGCGAAGCCGGGGCGAGTAGCTAGTTTGTAAATAAAAACAATATAATACTACATTGAAATGCATCCGAAAAAACTGATTGATCAACGATTGTTTCCAGTTCAGTAGTATCTGAAGGTTATATTTTTCAATCGAAGATTTCTTAAAGCAGAGCTAAATCATTTCTCGAGGTTAAGTTTTTATTACTTGTAAGAAATTTAGGTTTTACAGGAAAACTAACTATATTTTTATCTCTAACTGTGTTGACTTGGATTACCTCTATCTCACCTATTTCTGCTGCCAAGGAGTTTACTTTATAAGGTTTTGAAGACATGACGAGCGTGGATGGCAATAGTTGTTCATGCACTGGATTTTCATTTAATATTAGACATAGACACCTATATAAATATACATTGTAAATAAACTGGCTTTTAAAAGAAAAAGTAATCCAATTGAGTTTTTGCTAGTTCTTCTCAATTGGAACTATATATTGAACTGGACGATAAGGAAAAAAATATAACATAAATTACAAAATTGAAGTTCAGAAGCGGCTAAAATGTCTTATATGAATAAATGATTATTGAATTTTGAAGGCTAAGATATACAGGACTCATAACTCCCATGCCACCAGGCTGGTACCACGACCGTCACGTGACGAAGTGGCAGTTTCCACTTACCATCAAGTATACCGTGAGCTTGTTTGCTAAATTATGTATTTATTTGACTTTAATGTACATAATACAAATGGTAAATAGTATATTTGGTAGATTTAACGCCAAGCGGCATTTTCTGTCAGTCAACCAGAGGTGGTACAGAGAATAATTAATGATAAACAAAATGCAACTAAACATATATAAACACAATGCAAATTATAAACTCTCAAGTTCAAATTCAAATTCAATAATTATTTATTCATATTGCACTTTTTTCTCGTTTTTGAACGTAAAATTTTTTATATTGTATTGTTTTAACTTAGATGTAATAATATATTACATAATTATCTCATATCTCATATATAAATATGAACAAATATTATATTATATTTAAATGTATACCAAATAGTCTGAGTCACAGAATCATAGAGAGTAAAATAGAAAAATGTGACTAAGACAGAACTGAGAGAAGGAAAGAAACAAAAAAATTGTTACAAATTTGGATATTTTATTTACGTATCATCTACATTGTCGGCAGGAACTGAACGGGTTCTACATCCCCGAGATGACATCAGTGGTGTGCAAGTCCGCCGCGGAGATGGTGCGCGTCATGAAGGCTGGCAACAAGAACCGAGCCGCCGGCCGCACCGACATGAACGAGCACTCTTCGAGGAGTCACGCGGTGTTCCTCGTCACCGTGGAGACGGCGCATCGCAAGACCAACCGCATACGGTCAGACATTACTTTACTTTATTAATACATTCGATACGTTGCTGGCGGAGACGACGACCTTAACCACTCCATAAAGCTTCATTAACTGGGCGCCTGCGCGATCTGCCCCTGTCGCTCTAATCGATCTCCCATCCAATTTAAACGGGGATCGAAGTTACGACGTCCTGAGCCAAGGTTCAAATCCTTAACGGTGCCCTCGGACTAAAGTCGTATCCGTCAGGCAGGAGCTGACCTTCAGCCACTCCATATGTCCTTTCGTAAGTTTGGATTGCGCTCTGCACTCGCCCTCTATCGTCGTGAGTTTCTCAACTGAAGTAGCTTTTTTGTCTTGTGGAAAAATCTTCATCGGCCCGCTGGAGCCACTAAAAGCAATAAGCTACGATTTTTTTTTTAAAGGTTGATAATGGAATGGTTCACCCGCCTGCGCTAACGGTTTACGCTGTCGGGGCACCAGTGCAGGATGATAGGATGAACATGAAGTCAGATCAGTTAGCCCAACGTGACAAATTCGCCGGGGGTTTCCAGGGGGAACCGCGTGGAGGTCGATCTGACATGGTACATTGCTAGCAATGGGATCATTAGTCCACATTACTAACAATCCCCTTCCCCCCAATAAGCTACGATTGCCGTTGCCGGAATCACAAGGTCGTTTTAGCATAACTATCTGAGCTTCGGCGACTTTAGCCCACCGTATATATGGTGTAGGATAGGCCCAATTTCGTTGTTAGGTCGATCTATTTCAACGTACGCAATTCTGTAAGCGACGGTGCACGTGTTTCCAGGGACATTTGATGGAGGACCTGCCTTTCTTAAGGCGAGCACCCTGGCCTCAGTGGAGAATAGAGGTGGGGCGGAGCTGGTTACTCCCCAGCATCTAGGGCGGACTCTTCTTCTGCGCGAATTAGTAGAGCAGAAGGATCAGAACTTCTGACCGACTGCCATTTGCCAATTTTAATCAATTTTCTATTTCTCTAAAGTGTATTGTATTTGTTAAATATGTGGCACCTGGGACGTGTTGTTAATCACAACTAGTTAATCTGATAAACACGAGTCACCAGAACGTGTGAACGTCCATAAATATAAATTTTCTTGGCATCTACTCGATTTTTTTTCATATGTATTGGGAGTTACATAACATGTTTGTGTAGTTAACACATCCATATGTATATGACGTTTAACGAAGATGGTAAACAAGGATACGGCCCACATGATAAACGGTTACCGTAAGCTATGGACGCCTGAAACACCAGGGGTTTCACGTGCGCGCTTTCGATCCTTAAGAAGTCTTAACGTGGATTTATATTTGTCTGATATCTCGTGACGTTTCGTGTCGTGAGGTTACGTCTGTTTTCACATTTCTATGTCATGTTCTGACGCCTTTCGAAGATATTTTGAATCAATACAGCCGTAACGCGGGAAGATGAAACTCTGACGCATCACAACACAACACTGACACTTGTATATGTGTCTGATGTGCCATGACGCCCTATTCACACGCCCCTCCCCTTTGACTCAACCGGTATCGTTTCTGATCCCTTTTTTTTTCGCACTACTCTAATGCTGTTGGCCGCAGCTGGCCTTTACAGCTTCACCGGACGTGAGGGCACTCCAAACCCGCGGAAGGACTTATGGAGCAGCTGAAGGCCAACTCCTGCCTGACGGATACGACTTTAGTCTGAGAGCACCACTAGGGGTTCGAACCTCGGCTCAGGCCGTCGTAATATCGATCCCCGTTTGAATTAGATGGGGGATCGATCGGAGGGTATTTCTGATCCGATACAATAGAAGTTATCACAACTCATTACGCGTTACTAATATGAACGTTTCCATACTAAATACACCAATTTATATTATGAAGTCTGATATGTCGACCTACTTGAAATCCTTCTTGAAAAACCCCCATGCTGTAGTCTCTAGAAAATGCCTCGGCAGGTAGTTTGCTTCGCAATCTACGTGTTAATGCAAAACGTAATCAAAGCTCACGAGAAAAATGAAGTATTATTTTTAGACTAGTGTACCCGCAACTTCGTCCGTGTGGAATTTAACTTTATTTTTCTAAAATAAGAAGCTTATATTACTCCTTATTACATCAGCTACCTGCCAAAAGTCCCGTCAAAATCGGTCCAACCATTTGAGAGATTAGCCGGAACAGATCGACTGTTTGACAGACAAAAATTGTAAAAATGTTAATTTGGTGTATGTACCGTATTTATAGTCATATGCATATAATAAAAAAACGGTTATTTCAATATTACAAACAGACACTCCAATTTTATTTATAGGTATAGATGTATAGATTAATTCCATCGGACATGTCTGATAATCGAATTAGGATCTACTAATAGTTTGATGTGCTCCAATTTCTCAAACATCGTTACTCATACTGGATTCGTTGATCCTGACATTGTCCGTCATAATGAGTACTCGTCATAATGAACTCAATTTGCTCACCGTAATTACAAATGTAAAAGATATCATGGCTCTGTGCCAAACTCAATTTTTTACATAAATAAACACTCACTCACGTCATACAATTCTTTTTAATCTACATGCATCACGTCGGGGTCACCAGTGTGGTTATGGTTGGCGTGTTGATATACAGAAGGAGTGATATTAATAAAAGATTGAATATATGACAGTGTATATAATAACAGAATTAAAAATAACAAATAATAATTAATTTAACAACTCATTTTGATCAGTAATTTGCAAGCGAATTAATGTGACATTTTTGACAATATACTTTTTATTCAAATGTGTCTGTGTTATATGTCTAGTTTATGCAAGGAGGTTGGTAGCCTACACATGTAATCATACAAATGATTGATTTTCTTATGGATGATAATGGAATGGTACACTGAATGATTTAAGCATACATAGGGACGGGCAGACAGCGACTTAATTTTTTACTATGTAATGATAATAATGATAACAAATCATCAAAGAACTGCAACATATAAATGACGTGTCTGATGATGCTGTTAATAATAATTGTGTGTATGTACATTAGGATTATTGGGATAACAGAATAACGTAGGAGGCTCAAGATTGGATGGCCCAATTTAGAGATGATGCATTCGACCCAGCTTATTACGTGTTCAGCATTCAACCAACTGATACATGTACACCCATAAACGTCATTGCTCTTGAAATTGGTAAAAATATCAACATATTGAACGTGCCAAATAAAAATTTGTTGTTTGTAACAATAATGTTTTGGTTTAATGAGTGCAATGAAGATGGGAAAGACATTTATTCGAGGTAGGTTCAATTCTTGACTTTATGTTACAACTATCTAAAACTAATAGTCACGACTGTAATCCCAGATAAGGTAGACAGGGTTAGTCAAAAGTCAGTGTTGTTGTAAACGCGTTTGACATGGTAATCCCAGATAGTCATTGTCAATAGTCAATGATGAGAGGGGATTGTTAGTAATGTGGATTAATGATCTTATTGCTAGCAATATACATGGCAGGCTGACCTCCACGCGGTTCCTCCTGAAAATCATCGTTATAAATTCTTGGTGATTTGTCACGATGGACTTACTAACCTGACTTCATGTTCATCATGTCATCCTCCACTGGCCAGCGTATACCGTTAGCGCAGGCGTGTGCATCATTACATTATCATCCACTAAAAAAAATAGTCAATGATAGTGGAAAGGGGATTGTTAGTAATGTGGATTGATGATCACCACAATACCAGCTACTTCCATTTGACTGCATTCAGAACCGAGCAGCCAGAATCATTGGTAATTAACGTCTATGTGACTCGACTCGACCCAGTGGCTTTGCGGCGAGATATTGCATATCTGTGCATTTTCTACCGCATATATCACGGGGAGTGTTCTGAGGAATTGTTCGGATTAATACCAGCTGCTGAGTTTCACCACCGTACCACCCGCCAGAAACTAAAATACCATCCTGATCATTTGGATGAATGGCGGTCTTCCACAGTACGGTTTTCTAGAAACTTTTTGCCTCGCACAACCACATTGTGAAATCACCTTCCAGCAATGGTATTTCCGAAACGATACGATATTGAAACCTTTAAGAAAAGAGCTTATTCCTTTTTAAAAGGCCGACAACGTACTTGCAATTCCCCTGGTGTTGCGGGTGCTCATGGGCGGCGGTAATCACTTACCATCAGGTGAGCCGAATGCTCGTTTGTCCCCTGTGTTATAAAAAAAAAAGATCTTATTGTTAGCAATGTACATGTCAGGCTGACTTCCACGCGGCTCCCCCTGAAAACGATCGTGATAAATTCTTGGTAAATTTGTCACGATGAACTAACTGACCTGACCTCATGCTCATCTTATTACCCTCCACTGGTGCCCCGCAAGCGTAAACCGTTAGCGCTCCAAGGGGATTAACTAGGGGATGAAAGTTTGTATGAAACTTAGTCAATGTCAAACCGATCGGGCTGAGACTTTGCATGCATAAAGATACTATGACGTAGGCATCCCCTAAGAGAGGATTTTGGTGAATCCCTAAGAGGATAAATTAACGCGAGCGCAGCCGCGGGCAAAAACTAGTTATATATGTAAACCTTCCTCTTGAATCAGTCTATCTGTTAAAAAAAAACCGCTCCGAAATCCGTTGCGTAGTTTTATAGATTTAAGCAAACATAGGGACGGACAGACAGCGACAGCGACTTTGTTTTATACTATGTAATGAAGATAATAAAGGATCAGGCATTGCTAATAGAATGACACGAACGGTACGACCCAATTTCATCCCCATCGAATGTTCCCCTTGTCACGCTATAGTGGGCACCGCCGTTTTAAACTAGGCTGGGGCCCTTGGGCAGTCAAGAATTCGGGGCCCTGTTTTTTTTTATATACTCAGCGCCATCTTAGGCTCAAGTTAAGCTAGCTAAACCCTGTGTTATGGGTACTAGATAACTGATACATATACATAGATTTTTTTTATGTAAATACATACATAGAAAGCACCAAACCGATACAAACGATCATACTCATGAATACAAATGTTTGTGCC